TGGCTCTCCACCCCATCCAGCCCAAACCTGGCTTGCAGGAAAAATAGGGAGAGGCATCTTAGTTTGTATTATTAAGATTTCTCGCCCCAAAAGATTGTTTTACTTGGGGGGGAGGAATATATAAAGGAATATTTTTGCCATAAAAACAGATTTTTCCTAATTAAATTCCTCATTTTTATCCATGCTCCTGACCCCCCCCCTTTTTTAAAAAAAAAAAATCTATGGGATTTCTTTCCAGGCCCCCAGTTGGGTTTCCAACCCTGAGGGGCTATTCCTGGGGCACCTTTAAAAACTAACCCTAATTTATTTAACAATTTATTTTTGTTTATCTTCCCTCTCCTAAAAGCTCTCCTCCCAACCCCCCCTGCTTTTTTGGGGGCGGGTTGTCCTTCCTTGGAGGACATGACAGTAACTCACCTAAATCGTGTCTGAATTGGGTAACTTGAGTTATCTCGGTTGGGCAGAGCCAGGATTCTAACTGTGGCTAGTTCTACTTTGGTTTTAGTTACTTCAGCCAAGCCAGGTTTCCAATCCTGGCTACTTCCAGTTTGGTTTCCTTGGTGCAGGAAGGAAAGTGTGGCAGGTCAGGGGTCTCCTCAGGACCCCCAATAATTGAGCATGCTGGGCTTGTGTGGCACATTCAGCCCCCCTCCTCACTAATCTTGGTTTCCATTCATTCTCTCCAGGGTTGCATCCTGGTTTGTTCAGGGGCTAAAGGTGTCCATCTTGGGTCTTCGGGCCTTATCTGGAGAAGGGGGCGAAGACAAGCCAAATCTGTCTTTGCCCCCCCCAACTTTGGGGTTTGGGGTGGGATTTGGGGGGGTCTTCCTGCGCCTCAAATTCATGGAGAAGGAGGAAGAGCGTGGGAACTTTTTTTTTAAAAAAAAACTCCTTTTCATCTCCTAGTCCTTTTTCTTTCCCTTTCTCAGCTTCCCCTTTTCTTTTTATTTATTTATACTTTTGGCTTATTTCTTCTCTCCACCCCTGTGAGGGAAGAACCATTTTTAAATACCTGTATATTCTTAGTTTTATGAGGACTCCAGGGAGCTCTTTTTTTTTCCTGTCAGCTCTCTATAAACTTCCTCATTTTGAAGGGGAAATGAGCCATTTATGAGGGGGGGGAAATGTCAAATATTGTTTTCTTCCCTTCAGTCTTTACAGCTGGGGGTCACTTCTGTCTTTAGGTTATCTTTTATTGCCTTTTGTTTTGGGATTGTCGCCCGCCAGGAGGGAAACAAAAAAAAATCCCCTCATTTGTCAGCTAGAAATTCATTTTCTAGCAGTGGGGAAAGGAGGAACGTACCTGAGATGGGGCACTTCTTGTTTTTACTTCTAATTTTCAGCTGCTGCTTTATTTAAAGGTAGTTTCATGTTAGGATTAATACAGTTAGGCCAGGGGTAGGCAACCTTGGCTCTTTTATGACTTGTGGACTTCAACTCCCAGAATTCCTGAGCCAGCCATGCTGAGGAGAAAGGGAGAGGTTTCCAAGCTGAGCCAGGCTGGCTCAGAAATTCTGGGAGTTGAAGTCCACGAGTCATAAAAGAGCCAAGGTTGCCTACCCCTGGCCTAGTCTGCAGCCATTAGGTCTACAATAAGGCTCATTTAAAGCAGGGGTCTTCAAACTTGGCCCCCTTATGACTCGTGGACTTCAACTCCCAGAATTCCTAAGCCAGCCACGCTGAGGGGAAAGGGAGAGGTTTCCAAGTTCAGCCATGCTGGCTGAGGAATTCTGGGAGTTGAAGTCCACGAGTCATAAAAGAGCCAAGGTTGCCTACCCCTGGCCTAGTCTGTGCAGCCATTAGGTCTACAATAAGGCTCATTTAAAGCAGGGGTCTTCAAACTTGGCCCCCTTATGACTCGTGGACTTCACCTCCCAGAATTCCTAAGCCAGCCACGCTGAGGGGAAAGGGAGAGGTTTCCAAGCTGAGCCATGCTGGCTGAGGAATTCTGGGAGTTGAAGTCCACGAGTCAAAAAAGAGCCAAGGTTCCCCACCCTTGCGCCTAGATCAGGGGTACTCAAACTTGGCAACTTTAAGACGTGTGGACTTCAACTCCCAGAATTCCTCAGCCAGACAGGTGAGGGAATAGAAGGGGAACTAAGTTGGCAGGAACCTAGAATCGGGTGGGGAAACCTTGGCTCTTTTATGGCTTGTGGACTTCAACTCCCAGAATTCCTGAGCCAGCCATGCTAAGGG